GGATCCCTGGCGGACAGCCCAGTGTCCCTACTTGGTTATTCTCAACGAGCGCGTCCCCCAACGCCCTCTGATTCTGGTCGGCCACCTCCTTCCAGTACTGCTCCAACGGAGGCACGTCCGGAGGGCGCAGAGGCGGTGACTGTAGGGCGGGTGGGTCCAGCGGCGCGGAGAGACAGGGCTCGAACTGCAATACGTCGCAAGGAGAATAAGGGAAGTCTCCGGCAGACAGGGCAGGCGACATCAAAGAGGATGAGTCTAGGGGAGAGAGGGAGCAGGGTTTGCAGCCTCAGACTCATGCCCAACTAGCTACAGGGACAAAATGCCACGCCGGATATAGTAGGGTTTATGTGATTTTTTTTTTTTTTTTTAAGTAAAGCACCTCAAACTGTAATCTCTACGATTCCCAGGCCCTTCCTGATATCCCGTACAGACACAGCAGGTGCTCAATATATGCCTCTTGATTTGATCTGAACTGAAATTCCACCGTAGCCAGGGCAAACCTGCCTGAAGTCACCTAAGTCCATTGCTCTGTACACTTCTATCCCTCAACCTCTCTCCACTACATTACAGAGTAGGGCTCCCTCTCCCAGAACTCACATGGGCAAACTGAGAAAGCTCTACAAATCCAGCGATCCATCTCCACTAGGAAGGGGCGGGGCTGGGGGGGCTATCTACCGAAGAAGATCTCGAACTTTTGATGAGTTGCTGGCGAGCCATTGACAGGTGCTGAGTTTACCACCTTCATGACCACGAAATCTAAACTAGTCAGATTTGGTGGGGTGGGGTCACCCCCGCAGTTATTTAACTTCCGGGAGACTGCACTTGCCTGCAATGAGATCATCCACCGTGTCTCTGAAATCCTGCAGATCAAAGTCCGCCGTCGTTTGCAGGGAATGGTTCTGAAATAAACCAAAGGTATAAACTATTTAGTGTCCAGTCAGCAGGTCTGGAACACTTCCTAGACCGACAGTTGTCCTCTGGGCTCAGCGGCGGGTGTGCACGCGCTTGCTTTTGCAGGCGAGCCTCATCGCTGAAAATCAAAGCCCCGTCAAAGAGACACGGAACCCAGCAGGGCTGCACCACCATGGTGGGGAGCAGGACACATGAAACAGGGGCCCAGTGCTTCCATGCTCATCACCCAGGCACCGCTCCTGTCCTCTGGCAGCCTGCATAGTCCGCATGCCTCCTCAATGGCCGGCCACTGGCCAACCAGCTAGCTGTCTCTGGCACGTTCCCGGTGCGCCCGCTGAACCTCAGCTCCGACTTACCTTGGACTCGCCAAGGAGCCACCGCTCTAAGATCAGGGAGCGTGGTGTGAGAACTCTCCGTCTTTCTTCCCAAGACCAGACAGTGTTCAGGGTCATCCGAAGCAGTAACCTGAGGCCATATATCTCGCCGAGGCTCACTCACAGCTAAACCATCCCATCCCCACAAAAAAGGGAAAAGGTAGGCTATGACATGGGGGCCAGAGATGTTATGCAAAGTACTTCTGTACAGAGCAATGGACTTATGTGACAGCAAGTGTGGACCTTATTGCTCTTCTGTTTCTCAAAAAGGTGGAGTTGACGTTCCCCATACAGTGCGATGCACCTCCAAAATCTTGAACTGGACACTCTCCTGGATTCCTGCTATGTGTCTGGGTGCCTGAGGCAGAAGAAGATGGTAAAATGCTGGCAGGTGCAAGAACCTTCTTATTCCCTTAATTCGTGGATGTTTAGAGCTGACAAAACTCTTTCATATAGAGTCTCTCTGTTAATTCTCACACCAATACAGGAAGTAGGCAGGTCCCAGAAAGTGACTCCGTCTCCTCTGACGGAGAATCTGAAGCTCAGAGAAATTGAATTGCCCAAAGTCACCCAGCTCTGAAATAGTGGCAGAATGCTGGTGCCTATTTCAATCCCCTTTCCTCTATGCCCAATTGCCTCTAGCTTCATCTGTCTTTTAGGAAAGCCTGGCTTCCAATGAAGACAGACTGGGAAAGGGAAAGGAGTCTCTCAAGGTGTGAGGGATGCATCCAATGTGCCCACCAGAAATATTTGTTCTTCTGATTCCACTATGATTGATTGATTGATTGATTGATTGATTTCTTTGTGTTAATCATACTCTTATCCCAAAAGCCCTTCTTTACTATTTAAATATTTCTGGGAAGAGGAACTTATTCTGACTCTGACTTCAAAGAATGTACAAGCATCAGTCTTCCTCAGGGTGGAGGGCTTTGATCACGGAGGCCTCTAACACCAGTTGGGAACTGAAGCTATAAGGGAAAGGGAGTTGAGAAAAGAAGGACTAAGTGCCCCAGACAAATCTTGAAGCACAAGTTCTGCCCTAGTTGAAGGAATCAGAAATGGGACTCATTTTTCAGGGACTGAAAAGTCTCCCTCTCAGAGAGATTATAGAAAAGTTCTTACCACGAGGAGACTGGCAGCTAACTCGGGAACTGGGACCCAGGAAATGCTTTCTTCTATGCTATTCAGGTCTTGGCCCATTCTGGACCTCGAACACTTCTAGAGCACTTCCTCTCTCTGTTCACCTTCCCCAGCAGGAGGGAGGCTGGGAAATATGACCAGAGTGTGGACTGGCCAGGGGTGTCCCCGGGGGATTTTCCCCTAGGGGTTTCTCTCCCTCTGTACCAGCTCTGTCTTTCCTAGGAAAAGTCCTGGACCTCTTGGGCCATCTGGCGTGAGCTCTGTTCTCAAAACTTTGAATCCTACCTTTCCAATTAGATAAAAATCTGGTGTTTCTCCAACTGCAACTATTTCTCCCCCTCCAAAAAATGACTAACAAAATGATGTCAAATTTAAGTTCTATATACTTAAGCAAAAATTCAGCAAGAGCCTGCTTGGTTTTTGTTACTTGCAAAATAAACATGTTGGAGTAAGGGAGTGATTTAGGCCCCCGGGGTCCATTGATAGGTGCTCAGGCATTATCTTTCATTATTTGAGCATCCAGATCTAAAAAGAACAATAGATTGGCCCCTTTAGTGCAATGCCGACTGTCTCCTCTTATCTTAACAATCTCTGCTCTCAGTGGCCACCTACCCTGAGTCCCCCTGGGCTCTATGCCAATTCTAAGAGGCACGTAGAGGAGGCCCTGGGAAGCTTTGCTCCACCCCAACCCCAGTTATGGGAGGTGGTCATATCTTCTAGAGAGTTCTTTGCCGGGCCTATCCCATTGGATCTCATCTGCTTAAGGGGCATCTCTTCAAAGAGGACTGTTTTCTGTCCGTTTTCTTCCAGTCTTTCCCTTTTTCTGCTTCCTCCAAATGTAAACTCTCTTCTTTTCTAGTCTTGATCCAGAAGTTATCCTCTGATCTCCACACTCCTTAGACACCCAGGGAATGAAAATAGTTAATGAATGTCTGGGAATGGGACGTTAGGGGAACAGACAGGACATATCAAATGCCCAACGCGAAACTTTGCTCCCACCTACCCGCCTCGTCCCTCAGTGAGCAATCTCCACATTGCTTTGTCGACGCTCCAGGGAAGAGATGATGAGAAGAACGGGAGACTGGTATGGCAGGGGAGCCCTCCAGGTGATCCCCCCTGTCCTGAGTTGGTCAGAACAGCTCTGAGAATGCGGCCGTCGTAACATACTAGGAGGGAGGAGGAAGCTCTGATCCTCTAGGCTGATTCTGGCACTACTAATCTATCAACTAGCCAGAAATGCCTGCGCTCCCCACCTGAGACAAGCCTTTGCAGAAAGGAACCCATGACTCCGGAGTCGGAGTTTGTGCTGTCAGAGGCCGAGAGGCTCCAAGAGGAAGGGGAGGTACCTGCGAGGCGACAGAGTCACCACTAGGCGGCGCGTCGGACCCGAGTAACGAGCAGTCTGCGAGGTCCTGCAGGTCTATGGTGGTGAGGGCTGCGCGGGGAGAACCGAAGACACGCACCGGGCGGACCCTGAGCCTTCCCGCAAGGGCTCGCCGCTGGCATCTCCGCCAGGACGTAGGAACCCGGGGAAAAGCAGCTCTTCCAAGCCGCGCGCTCCCCACCCACCCAGCGCAGGAAACCTGAAGGGCCGTGCGGGGGCCACCATGCTCACCAGGCAGCGTAGCGGGCTCCGCGTCCTGGGGATCCTCGTACACCGACACCCGGCTGCCGCCGCTGCAACCGCAAAAGAACTTCCGCGGAGGGCCGAACTAGCCGGGCACAGAAACGGTGAGTGCGGGTCAGCCCTCGGGGCGCAAAGGTTGCGGACCCCTCCCGGCCCTGGCCCGCAGTCCCACCTTCCTCTCCAGCTTCCCGGGCTTGCCGAAGGGCCGACCCCGCAGCTCCACCATCCTGTTGGGGCAGATGCTGTCGAAGGCCCGGCGTCCTGCCGCAGCGCCCCCGCACCCCTGCATCCTGCCTCCCTGTGGACTAAAGCCTAGGAGGCCCGCGCCGACTGCTCGGAGGCGGTGGCCGGGGCTGGGATGGCGACCCACACCCTGCGCTCCGCCGGACGCCTGCAGGCTCAGAAGCTGTCCCGAGGTCCAAGAAGGCGCGTGGCCGGGGTGGAGTACAAGGGCGACTGTGGAGGTGCGAGGGGAGGGCCGAGTAGAGAGGGAGGACCGCGACGTGGGAGGGGCGGCTCGCGCCTGAGCGCCAGAGGTGGCGCCTTCAGCCCCGGACAATCTGCGCTCAGGCGGAGGCGTTAAACCCAACCTGGCAACGCTGCTTCCCCCGGGAGCCGCGAGCGCGGGTCCCGGGCCCGCGAGCGCCCTTTCGGCGAGCGTTGGCGCCGCCGCCTCCGGGCCGCGCCAAAGTAAGGGAGGGAAAGGAGGGGCGGACGAGCCCTACCGGTCCCTAACACTGAGTACCCACTTCTTGTTTATGGACAGCGGGGATTGCAACGTTAAGGAATCTTATTTCATTTCCTTCCCATCCCAGCCAGAAAGCACGAAATAAACGCGGAGCGACACTCGCCAGTCAGACTCCAGCATTTGCCCAGCCCTGTAGGATTTGGTGGAGATGTAGAATTCCAGCGAGAACTCGCCAGAACAGCCCCTAGATCACAGAAGCCCCTTCCCCCAAGGCTCCAAGGGGAAGCACCCCGATTTTAACTCATTGACTTCCAATTGGTCTCTCTTGGCCTAGAGCCCCGCCCTGTACCCCTAGCCCCTCATCTTCCCTGGCAGCGGCGTCGGAGCACAGCTTTTAAAAGAGGATCAATTAAGAAAAAGTGACATCTACATACTGTCCTCTAGTTTCTGAAAATGTCACAGTGGACAGTCCCAAATCCCCTATAGTCCCGGTCTTTGTTCTCCCCACCCCCTTCCCCCAGACCTCGCTTTCTCTGCAGCAATATTGGCTGCCCCTCCCAAGCCCAAAGCTTCTCCCAGGAAGGGGCATCTCCAAATCCTTGGGTGAGGAGGCCTCTCTCAGGACCACTCATATCTGCCCAATTCAAGCAATCTGAAATTGGAATCTTTGTTACCTCCTATCGGGAACCTTGTTTTTCCCTTATACCTAGTAGTAGTAATGAAAGATCCTCTTTTAAAATGTCATTATCCTCTTTTATTTGTACCTGTTATCTAGATTAATAAACAAGATACCCTTAAAAGTGATGGAGAGTAACTCAGTGGCAGAGCTAGAATAGAGACTCTGATCCATCTGTAAATGTGGGAACCCAGCTGCATAAGGCCCGTCAGCTAGAGTTGGTGTGATATTGCTGACAGTGAGGAGCTCTGGCTTTTAGGTCAGAGTGCCTATCAGGCATTGCTGTGAAGACAGATTATGTGACTGGTAGTTGGTGTGGATAAATTAATGTTGTTGTCTTAAGAAACCTTTTAAGCTGTATCTCCGGCCTCCCACTGCCTGGCTCTGTCTCCGGCTCTCTGAGTAGCCTAGCCACTAGCCAGTCCATCCTCCACCGCTATCCTTACTGATGTTCCAGTCTGTAAAAGGAATACGGGCACGCTTGGCTAAAATTTGGAGAAATCTCTACACTTGGAGACTATCACCGATTTTCCAGAACAGGCCCATTTTTCATCAATGAGTTACAAATGGGGATAGAAAAATATGGGCATGTACATAAAAATGTGTAATAGATTATGTGTCTGGATAGCATGATTATATCACTCCTAGTCTGGATGATTCTGGAACCAAATCACTCATATCAATCTTGGCTGAGTGATAGAGTAAATGCTGGTGAAGACAGTTTGTCCCAAAGTCACTCTTTTGCAAAAAGGCCAGTCCCCACTTCACTCTCTCTCCCCACCACACACACACACACACATTCCCACAGCCAGGCTGAAGGCTCCAGATCTTTTGGAATTTGGGACAGATGATATGATTTGCTTTCTCCTCCTTTTCACCATCACAGACCAGCTTTTCCTCAGACAGCTGGGAGATCACCAAAATCCTCTTCCTGAGCCAAGAAGGTGAAAGTTCCTAGAGAGCTTGTCTTAGCAACATATCAGGAGAGAAGTGGCCTGAAGAGTAAGGCATTTCTGGCTCTGGAGAGTACTTGGAGGATGCACATGAACAGAAGTGCAAGGAAGATTCTCTAAATTTGTTTTCAGTTTTTTTGCTTTTTATTTATGCATATTTGTCATACATTTAGATTTATTCTAAATGCAATAGAACATGACTTTTTCTTTCAAAACTTAATGTTTTTTCAACCATACAGAAAATCTGAAAGAAAAAAAAAATGCAGTACAACACAAACGACAGTAATTTTACTTCCACTTATTAAATGAACATTTTCTTATGTTTGCTTTCTGTTTCTTTCTCCAAGTTTTTTCCCCCCACCACTCGCCTTCGTTGTGCAGGCTGCCACCAGCCTTCTTGAAGACTTGCTATGTGCCAGGCCCTGTGCTGGGGGATTTGCATGGAACATCTTATAAATCCATACCTCAGCCTCACCAGATAAGTGCTACTGTTATTCCCATTTTTACAAAAGTGACTTAGACATAGACATGAAACTTGCTTAATATCACCTAGCAAATTGACTCCAGAGCCCATTTGTTTAATCACTCCTTTATACTACCTCACAACAATCTCATTTAGGCTTCACAACAGCCCGGTGTTAGGGATGGGTACAGCCACACCAATCTCCAGGAGAGGGTTTCTGAGCATTTCCAGAAAGCTGTTAAGTGGGGAAATTTGAGCACTATGGCTAAAGGTAGGACTGGACTCAGATCACCTGCCTTCAAATCCTGGCTGCTCCACTGTCCTTTAACCTCTGTGACCCAGTGTCCTTCTTTGAAAAATGGATAATAGACACTGCCTCATAAAATTGTTAGATTGAAATAAGGAATTCTAAGCATAGTGCCTGGTACACTAAGCACTCCATGATAGCCATGATTACTATTCTGCCATAGTTGCCCTGGGCTCACAGGTAACAGGTATATATTGAACCATGAAATTGCAGGGTAAATGGGCTCAGTTTGTAATGGCCATAATTGTCTGCGAAGCCTTAATTTCCGGCATCAGTTAGTTATCGAGGGTAGTTCTTGCTTCATTCTCTGCTAGTGGGCCTGTGCAGTGCCCAAATCCTACTGGCATCAGGGTGTACACCTTGACCCCTCTAGACTGCATAGACTGCTGTGGGTTCCATTCGGCTTCACACCCCACCACACCCTTTGGACCTCTCGGAGTGTGCAATCCTCAGACTCCTGACAGGTCGGTCACATATAGGCCTACAAGCGACCCTGACTCGCCTTGTAACTGGAACAGAGGCCATTCGGCTGTTGCCTGATCTGGTGTAATTACACACAAATGCCAAGTATAGAGTAGACCCGGAGGGAGGGAGGGAGGATCCATCCATTATTGCTGACTCCTGGATTTCTGGCCTGCCTTCACCATCCCTCCCCGCAGACAAAAAAAAAAAAGAAAAAAGATTAGGAGCATTCGGACAAACCACAACAAACAGCCTGTTTATTGGGGAAAGACTCTGCCCTCTCATGTGCTCTCAGAAAAATAAATAAATGACTAGACGCTACTACTATTGTACACTATTTACAATCCACAAGATGACCTGGTGACCAAGTGGGAGCCCTGAAACCCTCTTTGTGGGTTAGCATTGCATTCTCTCAAAGCAATGGGAGAGGTTCAGCCCCTCGGCTAGGGGACCCTTGGCCTCCTTTATTTCAAGCTCTGGGAGAGGCTGCATTTCTCACAGATCTGGTGCGGTATCATGTGAGTCAGGGAGGTTCCATTTATGGCCACTAGTAGCTGCAGCTTGCTCAGGCAGTCCTGCAGCGCCGCCTCCGTGTGCCCTCCCAGGCGCAAGTCCACGGGATGAGGGAGCTGCAACAGACGGTCAGCCAGCGCCAGGCAACAGATGGCCAACAGGGAGGGGGGGTAGCTGGTGAAGGCGTAGTCGGCCAGGCTCAGCTCCGCCACCCCTCGCGCCAGAGCTTGGGCCTCCAGGGCTTGGGAGACTTCGGCCTGCCCGACCTCCACGCGCGCGTGCGTGAAATGCTCCAAGAAGAAGCTGATGGTTGGAGCGCCCAAGCTGAAGTGCAGTTTGTGCAGCACAATGCACTCGAGGTTGCAGAGCTGCTGCCGAGAGAAGGCTCCGCAGCACAGGGCCAGGAGCTGCTTCACACGCGGCGGGTGCACCTCCACCTGTAACAGAGGGGCGCTAAGCGCCGGCTGCGCGGCATCCAGGATCCAAGGCCCACCCCAATCTCAAACCCAGGAGAAAACCGGGACTTCCCCCAACTCATACAGCGAGATAGTTGGGGCTTCTCTGCTCTATTACTTCCACCTAAATCACCTAGGGTGTACTTCCAGCGCAGCTGTTCTAACTATTGTCCGGCCAAAAAAAAAAAAAAAAAAAAAAAAAAAAAAAAAAAAAGTTTCGAGAAATCCTCCCATCCCAGACTAGAATAGCAGCGCTACAAAGAGCTGTTGAGGCTGACTTTTGGAACTAGCCAACCTATTTCTTTGAGGACTGAGTGAAAGGATTGTTAGTTTGTGTGTGTAGGGGGTGGGGGGGTGAAGTTAAAGGCTGTGTGGGGGGTGTATAAGTTTGCAAATGTCTGCCAAAATGAGTTCAGGGAACTCGACACTAAATCGTGTGCACTGGAGAGTCAGGTGGCTAGAGTGGCCAGGAGTGTGGCTCGCCCCCAGACCCCGGGGGGAGGTACCTGTTTGCAAGCGATGAGCAGGGACGTGACCCCAAGCAGCTGGAAACAGTCTGCAGCCACAGGCGTGGTGGTTAGGAAGCGGTCCAGAATGTTCACCGTCAGGCACAGCGACTCAAAGGAGAGGCCAAACTGGTGGTGCACGGGTATCAACCAGCTGAGCAGCTTACAGCGGGATTCCGCCGTTACCTGCCGGGAGGGAGGAGGGAGGCGGCCGGCTGAGCCTAGAGTGGAGAGGGGCCGCGGCAGAGCGGGCCAAAAAGTCCCAGGGAGCTTCCCCGGAGGGAGACAGGAAGAAGAGGAAAAGGCTATATGCTCTGTAAACTGGGAAACACGCGGGCGACGCTGCTGTAGAGCACTGGCCAGGCTGGGCGCCGGGACGCCTGGTTTCGTGCCTGGCGCTGTGCGGAGCGCGTATACACATTACCTCGTGTCATCCTCTCGGCAATTCAGTGTGTGGGGCTCCCCACTTTGCAGATGAAGAAACAAGCTCAGGATTGTTAAATACCTTGCCTAGGGTTGGTGGGGATCCGAACTCCAACCTAGAAACTGTCTTAACTCCTCGCGTTCTACTGTGTTCCCACTAACCAGTTTAGAGACTTTAGATAGGTCACTTAAGCCGTCCTAGGCCCCACTCTCCTTCATCTGTAAAATGAGGCCGTTAGCCCGGTCCTCCAAAGGCCCTTCCCTCTTGGACGGAGGGCAGGCACTGGGCTGGCGCGGGCCGGGGCGCTGCGGCGAGCAGACAAAGCAGAAAAGGAGAGAGCCCGGGAGAGGAAGAGGAGCGGCGGTGGGAGGTAGTTCTATCAGCGCCTCACTTGCGGCTGCCGCGCCAGCGACTCCTGCGGGTGGAAGTGGCTCTCCCGCGCCTTGCGGAAGGCGTAGCAGCTCTGACCGTAATCGCGGAAGGTCTGTAGATCTAGCTGCACCGACTGCTGGGCAGGGCCGGGTAAGGGGCTGCAGCCTCGCACTGCGGTTGCCGCGGGACTGTCTGCACCTTCCGAGCTGGAGCTGGGGGACTCGAACAGGTCGCAAACACCGGAGTCTCCCGGGAGCGGGCACGGGTTCAGCGGCTGCAGTGGCTGCTTCCTCCGGAGGCGTGGACGCCTGCTCTTCTTTACCGGGGCACGAAGGTTCTGGTCGTTGTTCCGCCTTCCAGCCTGGGCGGCGGGGCTAACCGGGCTGGTGGGGCAGGGGGTCACCATGATGCGGCCAGGAGGCCGCCCAATAATCCCCGGCTGCAGTGGGTTGGACGCGCGTGCGAGGGTGCGAAGGATGCCAAGACTGATGGGTGGCGAGGCCCTAAGTACTGGCCTGCGCCTTCCCTCTACCACACCCCCGGCCTCTCACTGGCTGAGTCCCGAGCGGCACGAGAGCCGCGCTTTCCCGGCTAAACAACCGCTCCAGAGCGAGCTGCTGACTGCGCTTAGGCTCCGCTGTCTGCAAGGGCGGGGGAGGGAGGGTGGAGGAGGAAGAGCTACAGAGGCCGAGGTGCGCCCGCGCTGTTCCGCCAGCCCCGCGCGCGTCCCGTGTTACCCGGGCAACCGAGCCGGCGTTGCTGCGGCTGCTGCGAGCTCCCACTGAGATAGGGTGGGAGTGGGAGTGGAGGTTGGGCAAGGACGGCGAGGCCAGGTGAGCCCAGGATCCAGCTGTGGGGCTCCAACGCTCCAAGGTATGGGGCCTCTCCTGGTCCTGGGCCAAGCATGCGACCACCTTCCATGCTGGCTCTTATCCAAGTCGGTAATTTCCGAGCTCCAAACGAAAGCTCCAGCTAGCATTCGGTCAGCACAGGAGAAATTTACTTCAGTGACTCATACAAGCAATAATCTTAATTCAACTGCGTTTGCGATTTTTGTTTTAGGAAGGACCCCAGTAGCTGGTGTCCCTTCTTCCGCTGGTCTCTGAGAGCAAAGCCCTCGCAGGTTACTCTGCGCTGCTGTGTATCTAGCAGCTAGGCTACCTAGCTAGACAGACATGCGTGCTCGAAACAACAAAACAAAACAGGATGCTGCCCAAGGAGCCTCCAACTACGGTCCTGTAATACTGATTCCATGCTTGCTACCCCAAACCAAGTAAGCTGGCGCCGTTTAAGAACCTAACATTGTTGGCGGGTTGCATTTCTCGCTTTATCGAATTGCTCAAAGCCAGTTCTGTTTTAGGTCATTAGCTACTGACCTTTTGTCCCCTGCGGCCCAGCCTTTCTTGGTTATTCCCTGCTTCCAGTTTCCGCTCCCCAGAGTGGAAGTTTCCTAGAGGAAGTTTCGCTTCCTGCAGAAGCTCATAGAAGTAAAGCTGCAGGGGTGGAAGGTGGTGGTGGGATGTCCAGGAAGGAGAAGACTGTACTGAGCATGGCAGTTTCCTCTCCGTTGCTGGTTTAATTCCTAGCCTCCTTTCCTGGTAGGAGCTGGAGTCTTCCTCCTACTTGAGCGATCTTTCTGAGGGTCTCAGACCCTTCAGGAGAAAGGGCACTGGGGGCAAAAGTAGCATTTAGTGAGCCTTATAAGCATTCCCAGTGGCAGAAAGTCCACATACCCTAGACCTGACAAACTTTCCAGAGGCTCTCCAAGGGGTGAAATTACTAGATGCTATACCAAGAGCAGGTTCAGCCATTCTCACCTCATTCCAGAAGAAAGCTGCCAAATGTATGTAGTCAAAGTGTAAATCTTTGTTCCCCAGAAATTTAGTGGGATTTGGGGTGCTGTCTTTCTAGGGATGCAGGAAAAAGAAAAAGGACCAATATCGAGTTCTGGTCAGTATTACTCTTATTTCCCTCTAACTCTGAGCAGTCTTTAATTTCCAGACCTAAATAGTGTCATTTGTAACATGAGAGATTATCTAAGAATCACCTGTATTTCAAAATACAGATGCCAGGCTTCCCTGTCTCCTGTCAGGCTATTGTTGGGCAACCACTGTGGCAGAGCAATTAAATCTGTGCAGAGGGGCCAGATATTAGACCTCTTCCTTGAGAAGCCGTCTGGATGAGGAGGAAGAACCCAGGAATTCAGATTTTCAAGCAGCCCAGATGGTCATCTGATACAGTGGAAAGAGCACAAAATCAATTCCTAGGGTCAAAATTGTCATTCCCATTTATTGGTCATCTTGGGCAAGCCGCTAACCTCCTCTGGGCCTCCGTTTCCATATCTATTAAATGTAGATATTAATACTTGCCTTGAGAGTCAAGTGAAAAAGGTATGAAAACCCCAAAGTCCTTTTTGAATATAAAATAGTGTGGTAACCTTAAAGCTGTCATTGGGAAATCAATGATATTATCCCACTGGAGATATTCTAAAAAGCAGTACCATCATTTTTATCCACTTGTGGACCTGAGGCTAGTGGTACCTTGTTGAAAATGCTTTGCGCTCCCAGAGAGTTTGCCTGTGGTTAGCGTTAACTCCCAGCAGGGGGTGCCTGAGCTTCGGCCTGCTGGATCTATTCCTCGGCACAGGCATATCTAGTTTTATTGCACTTTGCTTTATTGTGCTTCACAGATGTTTCGTTTTTACAAATTGAAGGCAAGACTTTTAACCAGCAAAAAGGTTACAACTCTCTTTGTTGCAATAATTACTTTATTTCAATGATGTGGAACCGAACCTGCAATACCTCTGAAGTATATGCCTGCCATGCCCGGTCTAAAATAGTGAGCAAGGCTGCATGGGTCCTGCCTTCACCGAGCTGACACTCTAGAGGGGGAAACAGAACCACTTGTCACATTTTTTAAATTATTAAAGTGTGGTAAGGATTATGATAGAGCATCTCCTGGGTGTAGGGTTGACAGATAAAATACAGGACACTCAGTTAAATTCATATATTGACAACAAATTTTTACTGTATGTCTCAAATATTGCATGGGACATATTTATACTAAAATTATTTGAAATCCAAATATTGCATAGGGCATATTTATATTAAAAGATTATTTGTTGTTTATCTGACATTCAGATCTAACTGGGCCTCCTAAATCCGGCAGCCCTACCTGGGTGTCATGGGAGCCCATAGTAGGAGCAACTGGCCTGGACTAGAATGGCTCCAAAGCAAGTGGTGGTTAAGCTAAGATAAAATGATGTGGGTGGGAAGAAGAAAGAGGGGCATTGGGCAAGAACATTCCAAGTTGAGAACAGGATATGGGAGGGTCTGGAATCATTCCTGGGACATTCTAGGGCCTACCTGATAGGGAATGGCTGGAATACAGAATTGAGGGGAAGGGACGAGAAGTAGGGGAGATAATAGCTAATATTTGTATAAACTTTATTGTGTACAAGATACTGTCTTATGCTTTTTATGTATATTATACTCATTTAACCTTCAAACAACACTCTGAGATGATTTGATTTTTGTCCCCATTTTACAGATAAGAAAACTGAGGTAAAGAGAGGAAAAGTAATTTGCCCAATGTCACGCAAACAGTAAATGGCAGAACTAAGATTCAAATGTAGGCAGCCTAGTGCCTTGCTCCATAATCACCATGCTATTCTCCTTCAACAGCAAGATCATGCAGACTATATTAAATGTTTAGACTTTACCTGAAGCCATTGAAGAGGCTTGGCCAAGTGAGAAAGGTGATCTGTCTTTTGTTTTAATGATTACTGTGACTGATGTGTAGAAAATGAATTGGAGGGGGCAAGCCTGGAGGCCATTTAGGTGCAATATTTGTGGTCTGAATGATATGGTCCAAGTTAAGGGCTTTTTATTTTCCCTGTGAAGAATCTTTAGACTTAATTTCTATATTCTAATATCTCTGCGACCTGGGCCCAATGCACCTTAAAATGCTTGATAAACCTAAAATACTTTTAAAATGTGAAACCTAATTAAACCCAGGCTTTTATAATGAAAGCTGCTTAGCTTTTAGTCCTGCTTATTTTCAGGTATTGGTTATGAAATTTGCAAGGAAATATTAATATAATGGAATCAAAGTTGTCGGGGTTTTTTTTTTCCCCAGTTTGGCATTTCAGCTTTAGTTAAAAGCCCCCACCCACACTCTGCCCCGGCTCTAGAACTGGGATTGAAGTAGGAAGACTTGACAGTATCTTTATTTTAGCAATCAAAGCAAGTGGTTTGCTACCTAGATGTGGACAACTTTGTTAGTGCCTAAAATGATCCTTAAGCAGTTTTGATCTCATTAAAAATCACATTTACTTAAGACGTTTTCTATTAACATGTTTAAGCACCTAAATTGAGGAATTATTTAAGGTACTTGAAGTCAGACAAGTTTTGCCGGCATTTAGTAAACAAAGAGCAGGAATTTCCAGCAAATTATTGAAAGTCAGACATTTGACTTCAATGTCTAAATGTTCACTGGTATCCACAACGGCCATCTCTTTGTTACCAGCTTTCCTACTGCTTTGCCAATTACCAGTTCATCAAATGTTCAGTACATATGCTTGAGTGCATTGCTTCTTTCTCATATATACATGTGCTTTTTCTCCCAACTCACACCCACTAGTGGCAATCTGCCCAGCCCAGGTGGGTGGGTACTGTGTAATGGTTAAGAGCCTCAGCCTTGCAGTCAAACTCCTTGGGTTCAAATCCCAGCTATGGATCACAGAAGCTCTGTAAACTTGGGCAAATTACTCAACCTCTTTATTCCTCAGTTTTCCTAGCTATTAAAAAAAAATGAGGTAGTGAGAATATCGTATACAATTGTTCTGAGGGTTAGATAAGGCACATAATGTGCTCAATATGAGTTAGCTGCTACTATAATTATCTTTCTTTTTGAAGCTAAGGTATGTGTCTTTTTGCCATCCAAGGTAGCTGGGGAAAATAATACGCGTCATTAAGTTTGATGATATGTACAATTTATATTATATCATGTATATCTGACATATGTTGATATATGTTTATAGTTGTAAGGAGCAAGAGGCTGCTATTCATATTACAGTTCTACTGGACTTCATTTGACATCTGAAACTGGTCTTTGAGGTATTGAACTAGAGATGTAGCCCTCAAGCAAGCATTACCTCGGGTAACATTTAAGAAGTTTTCCTTCTGCAAAGTATATATCTCTTTGCTACATTCTAGATGCTGAATTCCAACTATTGGAAGAAAGATATAATATTGGGGTGAGAGGTCTCTGGGAGCAACCTCTTCTTCTTGGGTCTGGATTTGAAGTGGACATTGAGAAGAACTAAAAGAGTGGTAAGCACAGTAGCATAATTATGCTTGAGGCCAGCCAAGGCCCCAGATCTCTCAAAATACGGAAGACTCAGTGACTCATTTTAGTGGGCCTTGAAAGTATGTCCTTAAACTGTGATCATAGCCTGATGATCACCCTATTGTTTTCTCTTTAGATAGTGGAA